TATAAGCACATGGTTGCAGAAGAGTATACAGAGAATGTAAGGCTTAATGGAGCTGACCAGTTGGAAACAGTCCTGTCCCAACACAATCTTTGCAAAAGGGTTAGAGGGAACCCGAGCACTTCAAAAGCAGTGGTATTGAACCAGGTTAGGCACTCTTTGATGCAAAAAGCTGAGAGTTTAAGGGCTACCCACTAGAGGCAAATTTGAGTTACTAAAGATGAAAGCTCAAGAAGTAAGATAATGCTCTGACTGCCATCATCCAATCATGAGCAAACAAAATATATGTATATTTATTTGTTTGTTTCACATTCCCTAAGCTCTAGGGAAAATCCCCTTGCAACAGCCTTTATCAAAATCAACTGAAGCATTAGCATGACAGTCAGGCAGAAGCCAGCAGCTCACATATTTTGGGACAAACGGAACCTCATTACAAATAAGCAAGCTAATGCTGGGGGGGGGGGGGGGGGGGGAAATGACATGGGATATTACTCATCTCAAATCCCTTTCTCTGAGTTCAAGAATAATGAACAGCTTCAAGAGAACACCACTAAGCAGAGGTTTTTTTTTTTTTTTTTTTTTTTTTTTTAAAAAAACTAAATTGGTAGTCCTTGTAGCCAAAACATGCATCTGAAGATTCTCAAACATCTACTCTGTAAACCTTAGTAAAAGGTGTGCACAGGAGACCAGGTAGCTGCCTTGCAAGCTTGATACGGACACTTGATGGCAGCAGGGACAAAAGGCATCCAAAAAGCATGGGACTTAAAAAAAAAAAAAAAAAAAAAAAAAAAAAAAGAGATGCTTTGGACATTTCAAATATTTGTAAATAAAAATAGGCAGGGTAAGGAAAAAACCTTAGCAAAGTGCACCAGCTTGTAAGGATCCAAACAGACGGCCCTATTCATTTTTAGGAGTTTCCTGCCCAAAAGGTAATAAGTATGGAAACCAGCACCTTATTGTGCATAGCATCAGTAGCAAAGAATTCATCTTATCTATAAGAGGGATCACCGAGCTATAGTCCAGCTCAGAATAATCTGAGGAAGGCCCCCCCCAGTCTAAAAGGCAGGAGGGGGAAGTACTAGACACATGCAACCCAGACTTGGATAGCAGAAGACCTGCAGGGCCAACCACCTCAGGGAGTACCTGAACCCATCACCATGCCAGAGGGAGGCAGGGGGGAAAAGAGAAAAAAAAAAAAAAAAAAAAAGGGGGGGGGGGGGGGTAACTTCTACTCGCTTGGTCCAGAGGAGGTAGCAGGTAACATTCCTGAGCCAAACCACCTCTCACCTAGTTGATGGGGCTGTCGGCCAGGGAAGCACTGTGTGACACAGAAGCCAGGTGCCTGGTCATGTGTGTCGCCCATGGGGTGACTACTCCATCTAGATTATCCAACCTGTCACCCAGCCCAGTTATTGATTAAAATTTCTTCACAGGAAAAGAAAAAAACATGTAACCAAACACAACCCAGCAGGGAACTAGGTCCTTACTCCTACACTAGGCAGAAGAAACTGAGCTGCCTGTAGAAGAAAGGGGACTCCAGTTAGGATGCCCACAGGCAGTGGTGTTTTTTTTCTGCCTAGTGTCCTACTATGGAGGGTGGAACTATAACCCTACAAGCAAGAATAACAAAGCTGTGCCCTTCAATGAATGTGTTAAAAAAAAAAAAAAAAAAAAAAAAAAAAAAAAAAAACTACCTTCAAATTTACACCAACCTTCAAAACATCCATTATAAATCAAATAGCTGTTTAACTCACAGAAATGCAGAAAATTTAAACAAGTAAACAGAACTTTGGTTTGTGAATTAATCAATGACTGGATTTGAGTGCATTAAATATATCCCTTTAAAGAAATTGCAGGGAGTTTTCCCACTTGGGTACATATTATACACATACAAAGCCTTGACCTAGACACCCCTGCTGAGCGTTATGAGCCCAGGGACCGGGATTGTTTGTTCTCCCTGCAATTGAGCTTATGTATAGGACTGATTTTCCATGCCTAGATGGAGATGATCTTGGTAAAGATAAAACAGCTTCCTCATGCCAGAACTGCCTGCTGATAAATTCTGAACACCCAAGCAGCAGAAGAGGGTCAGACAGCAAAAATCCATATAATAAAGTAGAAAGAGCTCCTTGCACTACAGCTCTCCCTCCAGCAAGTAGAGCACCACACATCATGGCAATGGCATTACAGAATCTCACAGGACAGCTTTACCACCTAATAGATCAATAAAATTATAATTTTTTCACTTCCTGTTTTGGCTACAGAACCGGAAGTGAAGGCAAATGTCCCCAATGGGACACAGGTGGCAAAAAATAAACTGCCAAGCATTATAATCCTCCCTTACTCTATCCAAAAATGGTAAAAAATTTTGGCTATAGTTTTACCTTAAAAAAAAAAAAAAAGGATTGGTGAATTAATATATTTCTATATTGGGCACTTTAAGGTTTGTTGCACTTAATGCACATACGCACTTTAAATTTGAGGGTTTTATTTATGTTCCATTTATTGATGAAATTTGAATTTTTTTTTATGAGGCAGTAGCATTGTCATTTACAACCAACTATATAGGAGGTGCTTTTTATACCATTTACATAGGAGCCACACCAAGTATTTGAGAGTCCCCTTTTTAGCTTTCTGTGGCACAGTCCAAATTTTTGCTTTTCCATAACAAAATCTCAGTAGCAGCGCTTTAGATTTTATACTGCAGATATGAAGCCATGGGGATGGTGGCATAGGTGTGCCTAAACAGAGGAAATGCACTGCCATGTTTCATAAAACACTAAAAGAGAATATGGTGCATTTTTCAGGGTACTATTTAGGAAAACATTCAATACTTTATCTAGATGTAATTATTCTCTAAAAGATAGCCACTTCACTTTGAGTTCAGTTCCATTTAAAAAGAATGCATCTTGTCCCCAAGATGCGACTGCGCAATAGAGGTATAGAAGCACACTCACAAGGTTACATATCTGCTCTCTGACTTACTGAAGGTGTTCAACATGTCCACTCTCCAAAGCAAATCTGTAATTTGCTTAGTAAATGTGTAGAAGCCACGTAAAAAATTTACTTTCCAAATAAGCTGCAAGGAAAAAAAAACAAAAAACTATTTTTGCATATACCTGACTGAATGATTGAAGTCACCAGGAGATACATTGGGGATACCTTTAGTTGCCATTGTACTCTTGTTGGATGTCCAATGCATGCTTGTGCCTTTAGAACGAAAGTTACCTACAGGTAAACCCACCATTAAATCACCATGGCTTGGCCATTCAAGTACCTGGAGCCCACAAACCCAGAAGCAAGACCAGGTGAAGATAGAAGCCTTTTCAGAAGTGACAGCATGCTGCTGGAGGGCTTTGTTTTAAGGCAAGTCTTTCAAAGTGTGTTCGTATGCAATACATACTAGCACATTCTCAAATTGCAGGGTGAAGATTTGTTTTCCTGCGATTTACTACCGCTTTAATTTATCCACGACTATATGTGCGCCAGACTGGAGACTCTCAAAACTATAGGAGTTAGGACCACAGTATACAGAAGAGCCTTGGCGAGGCACTGTGCCTTTCACACACATTTGCAAATATGTGCAACTAAAACCTCTTTAAACGCAAACTGTTACAAAGGGCCAATTTGGTTTGGTTGCAGGACTGAAGTCAGCAAAGCTACATCTCATTCACTAAGCAAAGCGAAGCGAATAAACAATTCACTGAACATGCTCTGCAAGGTGTGGGTAAACCACCCACTAACATCTACACAAGTCACCTCACTGTAAGGTCACACTAAGCATTTCAAATTATTAAAAAACTACAAACTGTCCTGCCAAATCACAAAAGAATTCTGTATATGATTTAATTCTGAAACATTGTTTGACCATTTATAAATACACAGTTTTAAAAAAAGATCAGACCAGTACAGTTTTCTTAAAAATACAATTAAAAAGTAAGAAAATATAATACAGCAACAAAAAGGAAATGTTAGGTCATTTATGGTGATTCCTGATGTTTGTGAAAGCAGCATATGAAATATTTGCTCAGATTTCAGGGTTTACAATTCGGTGTAAAAAAAAAAAAAAATAAAAAATAATAATTTGTCTGCTAAATCTATGTACAGGTTTTTCAAGTTAACATTTGCACAATGCAGTGCTCAAAAGTATAGGAGGAGTGTCTCTAGGGTATTTTTATATCCATTTCTGAATTTGCATTTTATTCAGTGGCACAGCTTCTGATGTATTTTACAAATTAAAACACTTTAATATTAAATAAGACATTACCAACATAAAAGGTCTACAGTAGAACAGTACTGGAAGTCTTTTTTGACTGCAGGCAGTTGTACACATTTTTGTTGTTCCACATTCTGGCTGTTCTCAGACAAAGTTAATGCACTGGAGACTATACTGACAGAAAGCAGTATGCATTTTTCCATTTCAAATACAAACCAATTGGGCTGATGTAATGTAGTCCAAGCAACTGAAACTCAGAGTGAACCTAATTTTACAAAAACTTTGAGGCAACAAAAACGCAATTGGTTACTAAAGACTACATTAAACGAGCACCTATGATGAATTTATAACCTGATATTCAAAACACAGAAGTACAAAAACCACTATCAAAAGCAATATGACTAAAATACAGTACCTTTCCATTTTGTACATAAAAATTTAAGTAAAACTACAGAATAAAACTGTTTACATCTTTTCCCCCATCCTATAACAAAAGAACTCATTTTACATACATATTTACAAAATATGACAACTAAAACAGAATCTTATACCCAAATCTTAATTTCTAAGGTGTTAAAAATGTACAAGATCTGGCTGTCTGAAAAACCAAGTAAGGCACATGTAGACAATATTTAAAGCGAAACATTGTAACGCAAAAAAAACTAGTCACTTATTCAGTGTCATACATGGCCCCAATAGGAGCAAGTTAACAAAATGTACAAAATAGTTTAATTCATTAAGGAACAAGTTTGTGTTTTTTTTTTTTTACCTGACAAATTCTATCATTTCAATACTGAAAGTATATTAGAGGGAGATTAACCTTTAAAAATATTAGTTGCTCAAAATGTTCCATCATTAGTCTAGTTTGGTTAAAACTTGCACTGTCATTTGAGGTGTTAAAAAGCTTCTCTGATGGAACAATGCTAGGTGGACAGCCAAGAAATCGGACTGCCAGTTTAGAGAGAACTGGCCATGAGGATTTCTTCAAATTCCAGTAAGTGAGTGGATCACAGTTATGCTCAAGTACTTCTTCTTCTAAGTATGCCAACACAATATCTTCAGGCAATTTCTCTTTTAAATTCTTGGACTTTTTAATGTTGGCCATGAGTGACCAAATATTGTCCTCTTTGTGGTTAGGAGAATGTTTATTACACCCATTAAGAACAGGAGCATCATCTGAGGTAGAATTAAGTATTTCCAGTTCCCTGATTAATCCTAGTTTGTACTCCTCGGCTTCCTCCTCAGCAAATAAGGATGCTTTGTACCGAGGATCTAAGAGTGTTGCAAATACATATCTTGGATCATGAAGTGTGGAGGACAGGCGACAAACCATAGCCTCCTTAAGTGATTTTAGCATGGTGTCTATCCCCATTGTCTCCTCGAACAACATTTCAATCTTTCGGTTAAGTATATGAATCATTGGAATTACCTGACTTAAAGTAGCTGTGTGCATGCTCATTTCTTTACTGGCAGCTTCAAAGGGTTTTAGTGCATGACACACAGACTGCATAACCTCCCATTGGTCACAGCTTATCAATTCCCGGAAGTTGCATTCGATTGACATCTCATCAATTGCCCTTTTTTGTTCAATTAACCGTTCCAACATATGAAAAGAAGTATTCCATTTTGATGGTACATCTTGAATCAGTGGATGCTGAGGTAATCCATACTCTCTTTGGAGTTCTGCTAGCTTCTCCTTTGCTCTTGTTGATCTGTGAACACGCTCACAAATTTTTCTTGCAATGCTAAGCAGATTTTGAACCATTCTTTGACTCTTAATGGCCTCATTTACGATAAGATCAACAGTGTGGCCAAAACACTCGACACTTGACCGTTCATTTTCATTCAATGTTTTCCCTATGCTATGATTATCAGTAACAGTGATGCCTATCTGAAGCCCAAATGAGGTAATCCAGGACTCCCACAAGTATTCTAGATGTTTTTGAACACTGACACCATTATAATCACAGTCAATCTGGGAAACATGCAGAAGTGCAGAACAGTGGTAGTCTTCATTGTGTGGCTTAAAAGAGGAATCGAAGGTAACCCAGTGAGCAGTAAGTGTTAAGTATTCCCGTGTCTGACTGCTCATCCAGATTCCTGCTGTAAAATGTATCATACCACTCTCAGCTTCTTTTAGGTGGGACACAATTATGTGTTTCACATTTTCATACATATCAGGAATAGCTGTCCTAGAAAAATAAGAAGAGGGTGGCAATGAATATTGAGGTTGAAGGTATTCAAGAAGTCTGTTGAAACCAACATTATCCACAAACGAGTATGGTTGAAGATCAAGTGCAATCATTTCGGCTACAAGACTTGTGATTTTTTTGGCAACAGGATGAGAGTCACTAAATTTATCATTGGTTTCATCAAAAGAGGAGACTGATAAACCAGAATTTACTGGCAAATGTACATCAGCAGATGGTGAGGCTTCTGAAACACCATTGGTATGTAACACATTGCTGTGAAATCTCTGCAAGTGTCTCAAAAGACAACTGGTGCCTAAATTGGTTGGTTTCTTCCCTCTGCTTATGGTGCGTCCACAGTGCATACATATTACTTTAGTTGAATCTGCAGAACAAATTGAAAAGTGATTCCACAGTTTTGAGGTCTTCTTACTATTTGAGGGAAAAACAACCTGATTATCATGAACTGCAACAGTTGACAAATCTGTCATTTTTGAGGATGAGCATTCTGCAGATGCTAATGTAGCATATGGAGAATTAGCTAGACTGACGTCAAAACTTTTTTGGTTTAAAACGATTTCTGGATGCCGCCTATAAAGATGTCTCATTAAACAGCTAGTTCCGAAATCTCCATTCTTACCTCTGCTAATCGTGCAGTTACAATACCTACACACAGCTTTTAAATTATCATTTGGGGATAAGGTAAAGTGAAGCCAAACTTCAGATTTTAACCTTTTCATTGCTTTTTTGTTTTGCTGAGGGACGACAGGTGTTTCATATCCTGGTGAGCTATGACTAGGCTTTCTTTTTCCAGAACAGAAAGCTTCACCCACATTTTCTGAAGAATGCAGGACTTGTGTTCCGTCATCAATAATTAAGTCACCATTAGAAGTACAGTACTGCAAATCTTCTGATCCCCTATCAGGAGATGGAGGTACAGAAATGGGGTCTTTTCCCATTTTCCCTGGAGATGCAGCAGCAGAAGCAACCTCTCCATCTGCAGGTAAAAGAGATGGCAAGAGAGTAGGAGGAACAGAATAAGGAGGTGGCAAACTCGTGCCTCCACTATTTTCTTGCAAAACTATAGAACGGTGAGCCCGCCACATATGTCTTATTAAGCAACTAGTGCCCAAATCTTTTCCATTCTTGCCCCTGCTAAATTCGTTCATGCAGTGGATGCAAACAGCTTTTGAGTTATCCAGTGGAGACAAATAAAAGTGTTTCCAGACAGCAGATCTTCTTCTAGAGCCAGAGGAGTTTTTGGGATTTGAAACCGGTTTCTCTGTTGTATTTTCTGCACTTTCATCAGACTGGCTGTTTGGTAGAGCAGAGGGAGAAGCAGAAACATCTTCCTTACCATTTTTTTCAGATATTGACAAGTCTGAAGAAATTTCATCTGAAGAAATAACGGATGAAGGCTCATCCACAACCTTTTCTGGAGAAATCTTTGTTGCAGGTTTCCTCACTTTTGTATGTGTGATAGTGTCCACATTATCTGGAGGCTGCAGAGGTAGAACTAATGTGGGAGGAGAATATGACATACCAGATGAATTTCCATTTTCAGAGGCAAGTACTCTAGGGTGTGCCCTTCTTACATGTCTCATGAGACAACTTGTACTGAGGTCTTTTTCATTTTTGCCCCGACTAAATTCTTTCATACAGTACATGCATATAGCTTTGGTACTGTCTCGTGGAGAAATGAAAAAATGGTTCCAAGCTGGGGACTTTTTTCGATTGCTGATATTTTTATTGGTAAGTATGCTTTGTGTAACAGCTTCCATAGCTGCATCATAGAGTGTTGTAGTATACTGTGAAAACAGAATTCCATAATCTTCCTCGTTTTCAGTAGATAAAGTCTGTGAGGTATCAGGGCAATGTTGTTCTTTGTCTTCTTGTTCATCACCACTTTCACCTTGTTTTATTTCCTTTGCTTCAATTTTTATTTGTGCATGGCTGACATCACCATGTATTTCATCATCTTGTTCAACTTTTACCGTGCTTGTTTCCATTTTGTTAAAGAAACCCCTTAGTTAAACTTAAATCTGAAGATTGGTCATTTAAAAGACAGACCTCTCTCTTCACATACAATGGGATCTTTTGTTTTGTTTATCAATGTCATCAGAAGAAAGTCAATTTGGTCAACATGAACATCCTTTTAGCCAATGGGTGATTTACAAGATGGAGTTCCTTTACATGAAGAGCACTGCTGTCATCTGGAGCGTTTCCAGGCTTCACAAACAAAAAAAAAAAAAAAAAAAAAAACACATTAGCCTTCATTTTACCATAAATTGCACTGTATAAACCCACCCAGCACCAATTATTTTATTATTTTTACGAGTGAAGACCTGTGAGTTAAGAGATACAGAATATCTAGACCTAATTGCTAACAACCTTCACAAAATGCTGGCACTTGTCTATTTCTGGCTTCAAACACAGAGTCACTCACCCAGATCATCTATCCAGCATTTTAATGCAAATCACAACAGCAACAATGTGCAAATGGTCTTTTACAAGGCCATGTGCATGGATAATTCACATTAAGAATGTGCAATTGTATGTGGTTTTCTTTGCAACCATCTACATCACTACAGTTTCCTGCAATGACTAGAAAGTCACTAGGAGGACAACAGTTACCAAATTGGGAACACACCATTTGAAACACTGACTGCTACAGTCATATAGCGCACACAGTGTGGGTTTTCCTCCCACTATATGTCCACATCCAAGCAAATCATGTACATCTATGAACAAAATATAGTCATGGACTTTGTGAGGACATATAGAAGAGAAACTGGGTACCATAAAACAGCTTTAATATGTACCATAAACCATTACACAGCATTAAAAATTACTCTCCACATAGGGGCTCACAAGATGCAAAGAGTCTGATTACAGTTCAGATGCGTTCCGGAGATCCTTCTTCAGAACATGTGACAGAATCAGTACACTGGAACCCATTTGTAATCTTTAATAGAGTAATATCAGCCAGTAGGGTAGACTGGAAATTCATAGCATGTGCATGTTGCCCATAGGGGTGCAAATGAGTAGACTAAGATTAAGCCACTGCCTCTTGGGTGGGAAATTCTGGTACATTCAGTAAACAACCAATGATCTTTTATACATAACCTAAAAATAGAAGGGCCAGCTTGCCAATGGGGAAACCTTCCAGACCCAAATGCAAGTAAATCACCCTAAAGGAAGCATGGTACCCAAAGTAGTCAAGGCACATATTCCAAAGAGGGTGCTCTTGATATGCATCTTAGAAACACACTCACTTCACATCAATCCAACCTGTGAACTGAGTTTGTTCACTCACATTGGGTTGGTATGGTTACCCATTGGGTACTCAGTCCTATTTTAAGATTATGTGTACAAGATCGTCGGCTGTTTATTGCTTGTACCCAAAATTCCCAGCTGAGGGGCAGTGGCTTCACCTTGACGTACCCATTTTCACCTCTATGGGCAACATACACGCTGTGAATTCCAGTCTACCCTACTGGCTATCACTATTAAAAGATAAAGAGTGGGTTCCAGTGTATGGATTCTGCCACATGTGCTCTTGAAGAAGGATTCCCGAAACCCGTTGAGCCCACATATGAATTGGAATCAGAATCTTTGCATGTTGTGCATGTGTGGAGAGTAATTTTAATGTTGTGTAATAGATTTTTAATGGTAGATAAAGTTGTTTTATGGTACTCAGTTTCTTTTCTATATGTCCAACAAAGTCCATCACTACATATTCTGTTCATAGTTGTAGAGTACCAGATAGTATTGAGTTGTGCAAGAGCAATGTTTTGGCAACCTGGCTACCACACAGGCAAATATGAACTTGCTTCCTTCCTATAAAATATTGCTGTTTTGATATTTTTTCCCAGCAGAGCTCATGGCTCTACTGACTTCATGCTGTATTCTTAGTAATGCAAAACAGACAATTTCCCATCTAAGGAAAGTTATGTAACTCTTCTCTGGGGTTGTTCTATTTCCAGCCTAATTTTCCCTCTCTCCCACCTGCTTTTATCAGCAATTTGTTTTACTAAATGCAACTGACGAAAAAGAATGAAGAACACAGGGCAGGACTGAGAGGGGCATATTTTCTGTAATGCCCTGTCCTTTATGCAAATTTAGGAGCTTAATAACATACTGAGAGGAAGGTGTGTAAAGTCTATGACCACTGAGTTGTGCAATCAGCAAATGATCACAGAGAATCCCAGGTCTTTATGGGTATGACCATTTTAATTTAGAAGGCTCACAATGGATTATTTGCTTCTGTCTTTGAAGGAATTCTCTGCAGTGACAATTTTGTCCAACAATTCAAACCTTGTTAGGTATACATGGCAGATGGATATAGGTATACACCTAGTGACTGAAAATAAAAACAATCTTGGAGAGCAGAAGAAGAAAACAAGATTGCTGCATTTGATAGTCCTCGAAAGACTTGCACAGTTTAACTGGTTAGACACAGTGTTCCTCTTGAATCAGCACAGAACTGGTAAGCCAGTAGCTCAAATAACTAGGCAGTTTGAGCTCTTGCAACAAAGGCTGATCAACAAATGTCCTTTTCACAAAGCAAGGACAAGTTTCAATCCGTATAGCAAATTTGCAGAATTTCTTAGCAGTGAAACCAGATTTTTCAATATTTTATACAGAATCGTAAATATAATTACAGTGATGATTAAAGCTAAAAGTAAATATGATCCTAATTTTATTATCCTAATTTTATTGCACAGTTACATTGGTCCAGCTTGGACCAATGTAAGCATGCATCTCTGATATCCGAGGGATCACTGTGCAAAGTGACAGTTACATTGGTCCAGCTTGGACCAATGTAAGCATGCATCTCTGATATCTGAGGGATCACTGTGCAAAGTGACAATCACTGTCGTATTCTATGCTATGTAAAAGGCAGCAATGCTAAACAAATGACCCAGTAATCAAGATGTGGTTGGGCAGCTGCCTGGCAAAGGACCTGGAAGATATCTCAAGTCACATCTATAGTCACAACTTCAGTGGTCCCTAAGGTATGAAAAGGATCAAGGTAAGTATGCAATAAAGATCATCCCTAGATTTCAGATTAAAGACAAAATTTTCTAAATGTTCTCATGAGTAAAAGGTAGCCAAAAAAATAAATAGAACAAATGAAAGTATGCATCAGCCATACAGGGAACAGTTTAGCTATAGAGTTCTTCTTACACAGAAAACCTAAATAACACATGCTTACAAATCTGCCATTGCTCATCAATTACAGTACCCAATTATAGAAAGTAATGGTCAACCACAAACTTCAGTCTAGGTACAGGCACAATAAGATGATCAGATACCTGAAGCAAACTTTTCCAAAGGCATATCTTCTACCACCTTGAACACTTTTGTACAATGTCCAAATGCATCACCTAGGTGGGAAGAGAGGAAAAAAAAAAAAAAAAGTCAGAATTTACATAGTTATAGTCACCATATAAAATACTGGCAAACAGGTTATATCAATCAATACAATTCCCCAAACAAGTATACTTGTTTTTAACCACCTCCTGCCTGGCCTATAATATGGGCAGGTGGGAGCACCATTATCCAGGGCGGATGTGATGATGTCCTTCCACTTGCACGCCTCGTGAGCGCCTTAGGGTCTGTGCAGTGGTGTGATCTGTGATTCACTGTGTTCATTGGACACAGTGGAAGACAGATTGTTGTGCCAGACCAGCCCTGGTACCAAATGATCGCTGTTAACAATCACAGCCATCATGTAAATTGTACATATTAGCTTTTGTTTATAGCCATTCACTGTGTATTATTGTGCACTTTGTGACTGGTCACAGCGATCACATGCTACAGGGCCAAACTGTAGCAGACATGTACCATGTGATATATGTGGCCAATCACAGCTATCACAATAGTACACAGTAGCAAAATTAATGTAGGTCATTCAGGACTTTTTTTACACTATGATTGCTATTAATAATATTTATGATCACCTCCCTGGAGGGGGCAGGGGCGTGGAAATGTAAAATGGAAATGTAAAGAAAAAAAAAAAAACTACTTGTCCAGGGACTAAATTGGTGCCCCAATCTATTTGTCCCCCATGACAATCTACTTGTCCAGATAAAAAAAAAAAAAAACCAAACTATTTAAATCGGAGGTGATATTAGGAATGTCTGGGGCTTTTAAAAACAAAAGGGGCTTTATGGCGACTTAACCGCTTGATGTTTTTAACATTGCACTGTTTATCTCCTCCTCCCCCTCTCCAGCCCCGCACCCAGGGAGGGGAGAGACCTTGTAGTATAATGAGCACCGATTGGCTGCTCCTCAGGAAAGGGTGGGTCAGGGCTTATCCTTTATCCCTTTCGCTGCCAGAGCCCTTCTTGCAAGTTTAAAAAATCCTTTTAGGCCTGAAGATTACATAAAACACTCTAACATATTTTCTGAAAGCTGAGACCCTAGAGAATAAAATAGTGGTAGTTCCATTTTTTATGTTGCATGATATTACCGCAAAATTGCAGTAAAAATGTTAATTTTAGGGCACAAAAAAAAAAAAAAAACAAATTACCCTATTTTTGTAAAATATAAAAGATGAGGTTGCACTGAGTAAATAGATATCAAACCTTAAATTTGTGCGTGCTCGTGAAATGGCGACGATCTTCAGTACCCTATATTTTCAACAGGTCAACACTTTTAAAGCTCCTTATAGTTCATCAGTTATGGAGGAGGTCTGGTGCTAGAATTATTGTTCTCATTCTGGCGTGCACGGCGATATGTGACATATGTATCGCAATCGACGTGTTCATGCATAGGCATCCCAGCGCTTGCTTTTACTTTTGTACGTGCGTATATGTGGGGGGGCCTCAAATTTTTTTATTTTTTGCGTGTGTGGGGGGAAATGGTATGTGCTTAGGTGTAACTTCATCATAATGCCACTTCCAGGTCAGGACAAGAATGGGAGGGAAGTGAACTGTGTGGAGGCAAATCAGGCAGTAGCGCTGCCACCCGAATGCTTCCACTTGACAGGGCTATAAGTATA